TACACTTGATGGTGACCCAAAGGTATGTGATACCCTCTTCATTCTGTTTTGTTTTTTTTTTTTATCTTTCTCAGACTCCATAATCCCAGTTGAGCTCTCTTGAATTGTTGATTCTTTCTTCTGGCTGCTTGAATCTGTAGTTAAGTCCTTCTAGTGAATTTTTCATTTACATAATGACACTTTTTAGCTTCAGAATTTCTGTTTGGTTCTACGAGGGAGCGTCAGAATATTTAGAAAAATTCCTTTATCTTTTCATTCCATTTGTCCACAAACTTTCTGAAGCTTCCTTGTATTTTGTAATTTGTATTTCTTTACAAAATCCTTACTAATCCTCGCAGAAATTTTCACAACTGGAACAGTAGACAAAGTCATGATAAATGGAGAAAATAGCAAAATTGTCAAAAATTCCATTTTAATTGGATCCATAATTAACAATCATGGAAGCAGCATTCAAGAAATCTAAAGATATTTAGCATATCTGTTACAAAAGATGCCTTTAACGTGTTAAGAGCAAAGATGTCAGTTTGAGGACTAAGGTGTGCTTGACTCAAGTGATGGTATTTTGAGTCACCTTGTATGTATGGGAAAACTAGACAAGGATTATGGAAGACGGGAAGAATTGATGCATTTGAATTACTGCATTAGCAAATATTATATTGAAAGTACTTTGGAGTGCCTAAAGAACAAATCAGTCTGTCACAGAAGAAGTACAGCTGGAAGAAGTACTTTTGGTAACGTAGAGGGTCTGTGAAAAAGAAGAAAAAGCCCAACAAGATGGATTGACACAGTAGCTGCAACAATGGGTTCAGACATAATAATAATTGTGAGGATGGAGCAGGACCAGGTTGTGTGTCATTATGTTGTGCATAAGGTTGCTGTGAGTTTGGAGCTGACTTGTGGCACTTAACAACAACTCTGTTGATCATCCTGTATTTCTTGAGACATCATTCTCCTGTTTTCCTTTAGTTCTTTGTCCATCGTTTCCTTTATGTTCATAGCCATATTTGAGGTGTTTTTGTTGTGTGCTGTCAAGTTGGTTCCAATTTTTAGTGACCCTATGTAGGGTTTTTGAGGAATGGCTGGTGGGTTTGAACCATCGAACTTGCAATTAGCAGTCCAGTGCTTATTCTGCAGTGCCAGCTGACTTAAACTCTTTGTCTAATAAGTCCACTGTCTATGCTTCCTAAGGAACAGTTTCTGTTAATTTTTTTGTTAAATGGGTCATACTTTCTTTCTTTTTTGTATGCATCATTTCCCTCCGAAAACTGGACTTTTAATTATTGTAATTGGGTAAGTTTGGCAAACAAATTTGTCTCCATTTCTTAGGTTTGTTGTTATTGCTGCTTGTTTTAGTTGTTGTTTAGTGACTGCTGACCTCATTCTGTACAGTCTATATTCTTTCTCACATGTGGATACTGAAGTTGGCTTTGGCTAACTTAATAATAGCTAGTGATTAGAAATTTCCTTTAATGTTTTGAACCAGTAAGTCTCCTAGCCTCTTCCAAGATGCTCTCTGAGTGTTTACTTTTTGCTTGCACAGAGCCCTATGGTCAACTGGAATGTCAGTTCTGTGCATGTGCACAGCCTTGCACATATCTGTTGCCTTCTAGAGTCCCAGAAAATATGTAAAGATTTTCAGTGGTCCCTATGGGCATTTTATTCCTTAGATATTCTTTTATGTTTTTGGTCAGCCTCTTACTAGTCCCAACTGTTGACACTACCTCAGGCAATTGTGTTGTTAAACAGTTGGCTCTGACTGTTTTTGATAGTATCCTGAGATGTTTTGTTGTTGTCATTGTCAAGTGCCATTGAGTTGGTTCCAACTCACAGTGACCATGTATAGGGTTTCTAAGGAGTGGCTGGTGAGTGTGAACTGCAGACCTTGTGGTTCAAATTGATCTTGCAGTCTAGTGCTTTACCACACAGTGCCATACCAGGACAGGATTGTTCAAGGAGGAGCTCTGAGTCAGTTTGAATAAAGAAAACGTATAAGATTAGCTCTTTCCAATGAGATGCCAGACAAGTCAGTTAGTGACTTGTTTTTTTGAAAATAGGGAAAAAGCTTTGTTGCACTGCAGGATAAGCACTGGACTGCTAACTGCAAGGTCTGTAGTTCAAACTCACCAAGTGCTCCTTGGAAACAACTCAAGGGCACTTAACAATAACAACAACAATGCTTTTTAGGTTGATGGTTTTCACAATTACCATGGAATTAAGGCAAGTTAAAATGGTGTTGGAGGAGAATACTGAAAGTGCCATGGACTGCCAAAAGAACCAATAGATCTGTTTTGGAAGAAGTGCAGCCAGAGTGCTCCTTGGAGG